CTCCTGACTCAAAATTTGGTGGCATTTTTAAGAAACAACATAATTCACCTTTATTAAGCATTAAAAAAAACCTTTCAACTTAGAAGATAGAAATTATTAAACTTTACAGTATTTAAAAAGCTAAATAGCAAAACACAAGTAGGGAAAATTGCAAGTTAGCATAAACAAATGCACTTACTGATATGACAAAACATTAAGACTATAATAATAATGTAGTTCACCCAACTTTATTCAGGAAGTATGATAAAAGAACAAGCTTGAAAAAATTACTGTCTCATAAATACTAACTTTACTTGTTAATATTAATTAGCAAAATAATGGAACACCAGATCTTTAAAATCTGTGTATTACAAGGTAAAACAGTTGTTTCTCTATCAGGGAAAACTGGTGACAGTGCCAATAAAATGAGAATAAATTATGAATAATGCAAAGATGTCACTCTGAAGACTAAGTTGCACCTGACCCAAGCCATGGTATTTTCAATAGCTTCATATGCATGTGAGAGATGGACAATGAATAAGGAAGACTGAAGAAAAATTGATGCCTTTGAATTGTGGTGCCAGTGAAGAACACTGAAAATACCATGGGCTGCCGGAAGAATGAACAAATCTGTCCTGGAAGAAATGAAGCCAGAATGCTCCCTGGAAGCGAGAATGGCCAGATTTCATCTCACATACTTTGGTCATGTCAGAAGGGACTGGTCCCTGGAGAAGGATACCATGTTTAGTTAAGTGGAGGGTCAGCAAAAAAGGGGAAGACCCTCAATGAGATGGATTGACAATAGTGGCTGTGACAATGGGCTCAAGCATAGCAAGGATTGTGAGGATGGCGCAGGACCAGGCAGTATTTTGTTCTCTTGGACACAGGACTGTTAAGAGTTGGAGCCAATTCAATGGAACCCAATGACAACGATGCTATAGTAGCAATGAAAATATTCAAGAAAGAAAATAATAGATTTCCTGAGACAATTGAGAATTAAAACAAAAATATTCTGAAGGAAAATATCTTTCAATACATTTAAATAGATTGAACTACTCTGTCTTATAGGAAATAATCTTATGTGATGTGGGATTTGAGTAAAAAAAGTGAAGACAACTTTCTCTTATCTTTATGGCAACAAAAATTTCCTTTTTAATTAATTTGAGATCACAGAATAAGAAATCAATATGCTTATTAATTTATTACATTAAATCTTTATAAATCAATCAAATGGGAATATCTACAAGGATGGCTAGTTCTTTTGGATCCTTGAGAGAAAATTATAATCCTACATCAATTTGATTATTAAAGAAATATAGGATTAAAATTAAATTAGGAAAAACAGGATGGAAAAATAAAGTTGAATGGGTGTATAGTTTTTCCATTCCTCTTCTACAACTTATATAACTAAAACAAAAAAGGGAATGAAAATAATTGAATTATGAAGAGATGCTTACATAAGTTTTTCATATAAAATAAATGTAAAATAAATTTAAGAATAACGTGTATAAAATTATATGTCTACTAAGCAAACATAGCTGAATTAAATGTAAACTCTTTTTCTTATTTTAATCAGTTTTAAAAAGACACAAAAAGAATCATGAGTTCCTTTATAAATCTAGCTTTTATAAAAATGCTGTTGCTTTATATGTTTACATTTGAGGAAAAATAGGGAAGAAATCCTTATTTCACATGGATTTTTAAAAATTACATATGCATATATACAAACAATTCCCATAGTGTTATAACTTAAAATTTAAAGTTTTGCCATGATAAAAACCAATAAACCAGAGCAATCACTTTGAAAAACTTGTTCTTAATCATAAAGAATTAGGTATATGAAAGTTTTCAAAGGAAAAAAAAGTCATAGGGTCTACAGTTCTTTATGTATTTTTCTTATAAATTTCAGTCAAGTCAAGCTAATGTAATTATACAATTCCATCTCAAAGAAAAAACATAAGATTCCTAAGTTTCTACTGAAAGTGACCTACAAACTCAACCATATAATCATTGAGAGCATATCAGTATGCAAACAACAAACACAATTTAAGGGTCCAGCTACTCTTGAAAAATAAAAAAGTCATTATTAAAGGTTAATTGGATTGTTGATTTAAAGATTGTAGCAATGAAGCCAGTTTAATTACCTATTTTGTTACTGCAAAAAATAAACATTACTGAAGATCATCATATTCTTATTTTCTACAATCCCAAAATTTTAACATAAACAAATAATATCAGTAGAGAAATTTATAGGTTACAAAGCCTACAATACATGTGATTCTCATTTGATCCTCACAATGCCCAGTGAGGCAGGTTGGAACAAAAAAATAACCTTATCCTCACTTTACAGTGAAGAAATTGAGAATAAGAGAAGTTAAATGACCTGTCCAGTTCACAAGATAAATACGGGTCTTCGAATTCCAAGTCCAATGGAATTTTCAGTACACTCACTATTATGTTAAGCCATCCCAAGTATGATATATGTAAATATACCTTTGGCATGTTAAAAAGCAGTATAAATAGCATAATCATGAAATTTTGGTATATTCTGCTAACCAGAAGGCTGGCGGTTCAAACCCACCAGCCACTCCTCGGAAGGAAGATGGGGCAATCTACTTCCGTAGTGATACTGCCTCGGAAACCCAAGAAGGGGTCGCTATGAGTCGGGTCCGACTTGACGGCACATAACAACAACAACAACAAATGTCTTCCAAGCTTCAGCCCATCACCCACTATTTTATCAAAAAATTTAAGTAGTTCCTCTTATTTTACTGGGATATAGCCTAAACTAAGATAGTTACAATTTCAGTTATTTCCAGCAGTTATCACAAAGAAATTAATGAGGTAGGTAAAGATGTAGTAAGTAGATTTTTCTAATTTGAAGTGATTCTTAGAATTCTTATAAATCTGCTCTAAGAAATAGCAGAAAGAATAAAATCATTACTAATAGAAGTGTGCTTGAATATTCATTCACCCAACAGGTGCACAAAGATCTAACTTAACATGAGACCAACAGAAGCCTAATTATTTGTTTCTAAAAATCACTTATTCAACTTTTAAAATTAATATATAAAGGGTTGGTACAAATTTGTACATATATTTGTTTGAGTACAATAGTAATAGGGATTATTGGTCTAAGAAATAAGCTTCATTTGGTGTAATTTACATATATCTTATTACCTGCCACATGTAATTCTGGTGAAGCATAGACTTGATATTACTAAGCTTAAATTTCGATCCTTCAAAAATCTTTGGACATAGAACTCTCATTACTAAGTTAAAAGCTGTGTAACATGAGTTGCTCTTTCATTTAAATATTTATTGAAAATGTACCATATATTAAGCCCTGTGCTAGTTGTAATTAGTCAATTATTCTTTAAGGCTAATTATAGTTTTGGACTTAATATTGTCTTTCATCTTTTGCATTAATTACTGAATAAAACAATATTGCTAAAATTAAGTACTTTTTGAAAAACTTGATTATATATTAACATTTTAGATGGAGCTATTATTTTCTTAGTTGACAACCGAACTAATAGAACACTAAACATCATATGCCAATCACAACACAAATTCAAGTTAAACATATGGTAAGAAAACTGTCCAGACTTGCTCAAGTTGGTTTAAGCCCGTTGAAACTTGAAACTGCAGCTTTGCCAAAGTTCTTCAACTACATCTTAAAAATTCTTGATTTGGAGCACTAGTTTGATAAATAACATGGCCCCAATTAAATACTGTTATTTAAAACATCCAATTAACAATATTATATAGATTTTGTGGAGCAAAATAAGATACTAACTAAAAGCAACTGAAAGGTAAATATGACACATACATCCCAACAAATAATTTAATGGAGAAGATACAAATGAATATATAAAAATCAGGAAACACAAAGTTAAATTATTCATAGAGATGTTCACTTATCTGTCTGTACTTGGCCCACTTCTACAGGCAAACCAACTAATATTTTGGCAGTCAATAACATAATGCAGATGGCTATGGATGACAACATCTTTGAGTTCAAACTGGCACCTTCTATCTTAATTTCTTATTTTAATTTCTGAATGTTTGTTTTGGCTCTTCATACTGTTCTCAAGAGAGGTTCTCAGGCAAAAGCCTCATGAATTACTGTTTTATCTAGAAATGAGTTGTTATAAGTCTGGCCTTCAGAGAAAAAGCTTACTAATTGTCAGGTATGAGGGAATTCAGGACTGGCTTGACTTGGGCACTAATTCCAGTTTCAAAAAGAAAGACAATTAAGAGAAAGGAAAAAGAAAAATATTTTGAGTCAAATGTCTATCTTATGAATAATAATAATTCCTGATATAAAAGCAAATATTACTATCAGAAAACTGATTTGTGTGCCTAAAGAAAGCTTATTTTTCAACATCTAATTTCTTGGTATTTTTTGTTTTAAAAGGTGAGAGAGAAAAGTACACAAGGCATTAAACACATTAAACAGCAAGTGCAGAGACAAATCTAAGTCCTCAATAATATTAATTTCCTATATTTCATAATACTTTACACTGGCCAAAGAATTTTCATATTATTTTAAAAATTTGATCCTCACAACAAACTTATGAGGTAGGTAGGGTACGTATCTGTCTTCTGTCTTCATTTAAAACAAGCAGACTCAGATAGGTGGACTTATTAAAGGGCAAAAAACTAAGGTGTGGTAGATCCAGGGCTTTCTAGAGTCTAGAGCAATATTTTTCAGAGTGTGATTCTGATTTACCTGCAAGTCCTACCACCTTCGACCTACTGAATAAAGTATCTAGGAGTGGGGCCCAGAATTCTGCATTTCATAATGGATAATAAAATGGAAAACAACTGTATACAGGCAGTGATATAAAAGTATAACATTAAATCCAGCTATATTTTCACTTGGTACCTGATGCCAACAGATGATCAGGGGCAAGTTAATTTAAAACAGCAGTTTTCAATCCTGGTTGCAGAACAGAATCACCTGGAAAGCTTTTTAAGAAAATGCCAATTCTCTAGGCCTTACTTCAAGCAATTAAATTTGAATGAGAGGAAGGTAATGGGCATCAGAAGTTCCCCGAGTTATTCTTATCTACACAGTTGAGAACCATTTAGTTAAATACGATCTTCTGCATAACACATCTAGAATTTTTCTTTTCCTTCTGACCAATTACATGCCTAACAAAAGTTCACAGTTTATATTATAAATAATTTAAACATACAAGACAAACTGTCAAGCATTTCTGAATTGATATTTTTAGGATAAGAGATACTTCACAGCAAGACTAATCATGCTTCATTTAGCTACATGATTTTCAAATACCCCACATTAATCACCACTTTGAATTTAGGTTATATGTATTTCAGCTGTAAACAAGACTGATCCAGAATCTGAAAATAAGGTTGTGGAGCAAAAAGCAGTAGCCTATTAGGGCAATGCAAGTGCAGACAATCAACTCACTGATAGGAGGGGCCTGGATGCCAAGGTCTGGTGGCTATGGCAAGATCACATCTCACTGTAGAAAAATACAACAATGAATACAGGGAATATATTTTGTCATTATGATCACCACGAAAAACTTTATAATGTGTGATGCTTATCTTTTTACATGCCTCCATGAAACAGATCTGAACAAGAAGTTCTCTATGAATCAATAGTATTACATGGGAGAAGATGACTACAAATTAAAAATTTTCCACCATGCATATGGATAAGTTATAAAATTACAGCCAATAAAAGTAGTATTTACAAAAAGTAATAAAAACAGCAAAATTATAGGGCAAAATGTCCATCTCCACTTTTATTTCTTTGTTAATCCTAATCCTGAATATCTCTGGATGAAGATTATCTTGATAGAAATTTGTAATGGCCTTCAATAGACTAATTGGATTCTTCTGTTGTACTTATATTCTATTAACTAAAATACCCCTGCTGATTTATCAAATTCTCCTACAGTTTAAAAATACAGTTCTTTTTCACTTAGTGGAAAGAAGAACTACAAAGTCCTATTATTCATCTGAGAAACAAACCTTGCATAGAAAATTTCTTTAATTCTGAAATTTTGTTTTATTAACAGAACTACCAGAATGTCATCTCACCACTAGTTCATATTATATGAAAGTTTCCTACAAAGTTAGTCACCACACATTTAAGACTTTTCTAAATATAAAATAACTAGGTTTATAAAAATGCTTACCAGACAAATAATTACCTCTTTATAACCTAGAAAGAATTATTTTTGTGATGATATAATTGTTAATATGTTGGATGCCTTGACGTCCCAAGTTTGATGCAATATAAAAAGCAAAAATTTACTTTCCAATGGACATAATCTGCACATGACTGAAAGTATGGTAACACTGAGTCATAGCAATCAGTCATGCAAAGGCAAAGAATGAAATCTACTTTTTAAAAAGTACAAGTTTTCCACCTTCGGTAGGACAAATTAAGCGCTGGTTCCATCTTCTTCAATAACACGATTCATGCTGGTGCCATGTGTGATGTGAGTCATGGGATTATTACTGAGATCTCTGATGCTGCTATGTCGTGACTGTTCATTGAGCCGATGCGAACTACTGTGCCTGGAGTGATCCGTTAGTCGTGACATGCTGCCATGAGGTAGTCTTTCCTCCATTCCTCGGTAACTGCAGGGAGTGTACCTAATATAAGAAAGTTTATTTTGAAATGAGTAACAGAACACACTATTAAACAACCGTATTAAATTTCCTAAAAATGCCTCACTGAAATTTTAAGTGAAATGATTAGGAAACCAACAATGATAAAAGCAACCAATCTTTCAGTATTCACAATAATTTCATTAACACTTTATAATTATTGACATAGATAACAAAAAAGGGAAGATCCACTAAGTAGGTTCAGAATTAAGGTCCTAATCCTGATAAAAAGAACAGAAGCTGAGGTTAACTGGAACTGACTGATAAGAAGGAGCATTGCTAAGTATGGATACTTTTCTATTTCAAATGAGTTTTGGGCAATGTGGTGGGTCCAAGGTGAGGAGAATTATCAACAGGCAAAATGTGTCACTGTCCCTAGAAGTCTAGATGATTGTTTACACTCAGTAGTACAGCAAAGCCAAATTTTACTAAAAGAGGGAGCATGTTAAATTAGAAGAGAAATTAGTGTAGCATAGACAAACAAAAAGGTGAATGAATCAGTAAGCAATGATGACGTGTATGTGCCAACAGCTTCTTTTCAGATAGTCCAGTTAACAGGTGAATTAACTACCTGTAAGTTCAGCAGTTCAAACCCACCAACTGCTCCCTAGGAGACAGACGTGGCATTCTGTTTCTGTAAAGATTTATTTACAGACCTGGAAGCCCTATGGGGCAGTTCAACTCTGTCCTACAGCATCACTATGAGTCAGAATTGCCTCGATGGCAATGGGTTTGGTTTTTTGTTTGTTTAAATGGTCTTAATTACTTTTCATTAGGACTTGAGGCTATAAACATGCTCTTTTATAGAAGCTACATCTTAAAAATACATGTAACAACATCCTAACACTTTGTTCCCCATATTCCTGCTAAAACAAATTCTCTCTGTACCCCTGACCCAAAGTACCAGCTTTCTGTCAGCTGGGCTACAGTCTTATTGCAAGTAGTTTTTCCCTCCATCATTGTAAGGATCTTAAAAGGCAGCAGTGGCAGCAGTTAAATTTTCTTTTGTTGCAACCTGAGTCACAGAGCTCCCACCCTCCATGAGAGGACATGAAGAAAGACAGATTAGCTTCAGGCCAGTCAAAGCTAGAAAAATCAATTTTTTAAAAATTTATATTACTACTTTGCTTATAGCTCTAGTATACTATTAATCTTTCTGGCTTTATAGTGAGCTCTTTCAGGATAGAGACAGTATTTTATTTATCTTTTAATTCCTAGTGCCTCAAGAAATATTTGTCTAGGATGCCCTTTGTTCACACTCATACTCATATGCATACCCCTTTCTAAAAACATATTTAATCTAGGATAACGAAGCTCAAAAAAATTTAGTGGAATTAATTTAACTTTAATTAATATATTAAGTTTTAAGTAATTTTAATTAATTAAATTTTAAGTTTTAAGTATTTCTTTTTACTAAAAATAACTAGGATATAATAGACCATTTTTTCCAAAAGTCAACAAAGAACTAATCATGAACAGTTGAAGAGCTATTGGTTATCAAAAATATTGATAACCATCTGTCATTCCTTCATAAAATAATTAACAAACTTCACAGCTTAAATATGAATCATTTATAACACTTAAAGATAAATTTGTACCCTATTGAGGTGATCTTCTAGTTTTACAGCAGTAGTTGTCAGGTATTGTTTTAATTAGAGAGTTTGAAAATGAGAAATCTTTTGAAAATTATAAAAGAAAGCATTCTTTTGTTTCCAGTCTGTATAAAGCAAAATATAAAATTTACAATTAAATAGATGCATACTAAATATTTTTGAAATGTCTCATGTTAATTGGGAAAATAATAATTAATTTTTACTAAAAAGGCATTTCACATTCAGGACCAAATCAGTTTAAAATTTTTACTGCATGTTCTATTAAAATAATTTAAAGGTTTGTATGTGCTAACAGCTTCTCTAAAAATGAACTTAATATTCTAATTTAATAATTATTATTTTGCATTATAATTATTCCTCTAACCTGAGCTGAAAATTTTTCCAAATAGCTATGATTTGTGAGATGATAACAGAGATCTCTCTCTTCTCAAAGTTTCATTAGTATTGATTTCAAATAAGTATAAAGAATAAAAAAGTAAAATGTCCTATGTTGTTGTTGTTATATGCTGTCGAGTCAAACCTGACTCATAGCGACCTATGAGCGTAGGCAGTATCACTACAGAAGTAGGATTGCCCAAACTTCCTTCCAAGGAGTGGCTGGTGGGTTTGAACCGCCAGCCGTCTGGATAGCAGGCAAGTGTCTTAGCCTATAGTGTCCTAGAAATGATATAAAATTAATTAGAAAATAGTGAAAATAAATAGTTATTTAAAAATATGAGTTGGATATTTTCTAAAATAAAACCTAAACTTCTGAGTTACAAATAAGAATACATTTATCAAGAAAAAAAATTACGATATTAAGTCTAATGATTTAAATTAAATACAGGTATCCACCAAAGAAATCTTGAATATGAACATGTCCATGGGTAATTAGGAAATCAAATACAAAGAAAAAGAAATCTAATTATAGTGTTTAATCTCAACTATCTTTGTGGGAATTGCCAATTTTGTTTATCTTCTGGCAGTTATTTAAACAACTGTGACCATCTGCTAAAATACACAATATCAAATATATATTAATTTTAATATAAAAAAGTCAAACCAGCTGCTGTTCAGATGCATCTTATTCCTAATTTTAATATAAGTTTAGGAAAATCAATTAGAAGGTTACTTTGCTGTTATTAAAAAGGTTATAAAAGGTATATTCCTGAAGCAAAATGAAAGAAACTTGAGGATGTTTTATTCTTTTTTTGATTCTTCAAACTGTTCATGGTATTGTTAGCTGCCATTGAGTCAGCTCCCTACTCATTGTGAACCCATGAAGAATTGGATGGGGCTGTTGTACCATATAAGAGCTCTGATGGTGTAATGGGTTAAGGCATCTGGCCACTAAACAGACAGCTGGTGGTTCAAAACTCACCATTTTCTCTGCAGGAGGAAGGTGAGGCAATCTACTTCTGTAAAGATTTACCACCTTGGAAATCCAATAGGGTCACTATGAGTATGAATTGACTCAGTGGCAGTGGGTTTGGTTTATTTTTTTGGATTCTTTTTGATTTACCACAGGGCTAATTTTCAGATGTACATCGCCAGACCTTGCTTCCTAGTCTGTCTTAGTTTGGAAACTCCACTGAAACCTGCTCAGCATCATAGCAACATGCAAGCCTCCATGGACAGATGGGTGATAACTACTATATTTGAGCTGCATTGGCTGGGAATTGAATCCAGGGCTCCCATATGGAAGATGAGAATTCTACCACTGAGCCACCACTGCCCCTACTCCAAACTGTTAGCTACTATTAAAATATATAACTGAATTAATTTTAGTTTACTCTAGTATCTCATTATTCATTCCCTGGCTTTCCCTTGTCATTTTACCTACTTACCAACCTAATCACTTACTCCCAAACCTTCCAAACCTCCACCTACTACTCACCCACTTCCTTTTCTACCTATCCTCTCATCTACCCACCAATTACTTACTCTTTGAAGTTGACATACATGTGTAGGTGTATTTACCTAGCCTATTTATATAGCATAGAGATCAATGATTATACATCAAGGAGTCTGGACCAAAGTGAGTACTGGGAAATAAGTGTGTGTATGTGTGTGCATGCCTGTATGTGTGTGTGTGCTGCATGTATGGTGTGTGAGATCACATAGTCAAGATACCACGTAATGATAAGAAAATGATGGCCAAATGATAGTGTTAACATGCAAACTTAAAAACCAATTAAAACAGAAAGTAATGTCCATTAGCTGGCTTTTGGTATCATAAAAACTTTAGATTCAGCATGTTCTCAGAATCTCTCAAATATACCCTACAGTTTGGGGTATGGCAGAGGATTCTACACTACTAGTTTTCATATTCGATGGCACATAACAACAACAACAACAACAACAAAGTTTTCATATACCACATTAT